CGTAATAACCTTATTATTATACATCTTTTCCTACCAAGGATACATCATGGGAATGCTGAAATCTAAAATGTTTAGAACAGAATCAGCGAACTTCTTTGTATGGAGTCTGGTTAAATCCTGGTGGCAGCCATGTTTGTTTTTATTATTAGAGGACACTTACACTGGAATTTGCATTTCCTAATATAGTAGGATGAAAATACCCCGTAAAATACCGCAAAATTATGGCATTCTGTAACCTATGGCGTTATGGTGACAGATGTATAATAATAACAATTTATTGAATAGGTTATTGTATTATTAGTCTTCTTTATCATAAATCTTTTCATATACCGGTACTAGTATTGCTGTTTCAGAACTCCCCCCCCCCTAAACTTTCTGATTGCTAAATTCAAATTTTGTCGCTATTCATAAGGTAAAATGTGTTTCATTTTTGCCTTTTGCCTTGTTGATATCGTTGTAGATGAAGGTCAAGGTATATTAGAGGAAAATGTCTGTCCTTGTTGTTGTTGATGTTGTCGCTGATGTTGTAATTAACTCTGTTGTAAAAATTCTTCTTATGGTTACAATAATGCAAACTGTTTTTATTTGAGGATCACTATGAAATGATAACTAAGTTAAATTTTTGTGTAACAAGTGCAATTCTCAAGATATTGAGTGGGTTTGGGAGGGAGGGAGGGAGGGATAGAGGGATGGATGGATACGTACATAGCTTATTCTTTTCTGGTTTAAATACCGATGGCAGCAAGACTTTATTATAGTAAATTTGTTTGAATTTGGTTTTGAATTCTATAGTGTTAGATTCATCACTAATTTTAGTTAATGTGAATAATCTTTTAACAAACGCTGTCCAAGAATTATCGTTCATTTTATTGTCAGTATTGAACGCAAAGTCTATCATTTACTTCTCAATGGGAATGGTTGTAATATGCTATGATATCAAGACCCATAACCAATAGGGAATTGTGTTTATTTGGTCCAAAATTATCAACAATACATATACTTTGTGGTAAGGAAAATTGTGGCACTCAAAAAGTTAATGTGGTTTTCAGTTTCAGCGAAAATATTAAACTGTTTGAGAGAATACATATATAAACAGATATAGTGCCATTCTGTAGCCTTTCAAAATACTGAAAACAAAGTAAAAATTCCCGCTATCTTTGTTTTTTTCAGAGTACATTCAAAGCAGTTGTGCTGAGTTTTACAGAACACCACATCACAGTTTTCAAGATGAGCTACTCGCTCAGCTTATACTACATTTTAAAGTACAATTACGAGCTACACAAGATACGAGAAAACAAATGTCTGATGAGAAAAAAAGTGCAAGAAAATTATTTGTTGAATTGGAAAACAAAGTTGAATGTCTCAAAATTGAAAACAGTGAACTGAGAGAAAATACAAAGAGAGTTGAAAATGAAAACCATGAGCTTAAGAAAGTGATTGCTAACAGTACTTTAGATAGTGATATGAACAAATTGAACATAAAAGACAGTTCTGAAGAAAAAAGCGTGTCCAGTGAAATCAAGCCAACTGTAAAAAAAGCTGTGATGGAAACTAAAGATAATGATGGTCTACATGTATTGCCGTCTGATGATCTACAGGTAGATACTGAATCTTTTGGTAGCCATGGCAACAATGACGAATCAGAAGCCTCTTCCTCGGCTGTGCAACCAGAAGATTCTGCTGCCTCACAGGAAGATAATAGAACACTAGATGTGGATACTACATCTTTTGGTAACCAAGACAACAAAGAGAAATTAAAAGCTTTCTCATCTGTGCAGCCAGAAGACAATGCTGTCACACAGAAAGATAGTGGAGTATCAGATGATAACAAAAAAAAAATAGAAGAGTTGAGATTGCAGCTGGAGAGGCAAAAATTCAAAAGAGGTACCTATGAAAAAAATATCAATGCCCTTGGCGCTGAATACTCAAAAGATGCAGACGACAAACTGAAAAAAATGCAGAATATTAAAACTCCAGACGAAGAATGGATAGAAAGCTCCCAAAATACTGAAGTATCTTTGGCTTATGAGCTGAAGAAAGAGAAGGAGACAGCTGAATTTTATGAAAATTATTTAGAGAAACATTCTCATCAAGCAACAGAGCAAAATAAGCAAGAAGCTAGCAAGATTGAGACAGGGAATCCAAAGCTGGTAGGTTCTACTGAAACCCAGGATGTATTTGTATCAAGTAAAGATAGCTTGGTCAGCAATAAACAGCAAGATGAGAAGCCACTAACCCAGAGTTTAGCTTCATCAGAACAGAATAACAATAAGCGAAATGATGTTGAGTCGCAAGAAGAGCCATATTCTCATCAAGCAACAGAACAAAATAAGCAAGAAATTAGTAACATTGAGTCAGGGAATTCAAAGCCCCCTAAAAAAGTAAAAGTAACTACTGAAACCGAGGGTGCATATAATATTGAGTCGAAAGAAGAGCCAATAATTACTGAGGAAACTGAAGATGCTTCAGTACACAGTCAAGAAGGATTGAGCAACAATAATGTAGATGAGAAGCCTGTAGGCGAAACCATAATTACTTGTGAAACTCAAAAGCCAGGTATGAATGCTAGCGTAACAACAAAAATGTACCATCCGGTTTCTGAAGAGAAATCAGAAGTACAACCTGTCCAAGATTCAGAAGCTGTTTCTCGAGAGGAATCACTAGCATTACCTATCCCAGAGTCAGAACCAGAATCAGAAGTGGGTATCTTGCAGAGACAATTAAAGCTGATAAAAAAAAGGGAATTAAATGTGTTAATGCAACAGAAACAAGCTACTATTGACAGTTCCTCCACATCTTCTTCAAAGGTATATTATATTGTTTATTAATTTGAAGTGGTTAACATCAAACATGTGTTCCTGGAATGCTTCGTTTCAATTCATCATCACTGATCCAATATACATGTAAAATTCTCAAGTTGTTTTTAATACTTTATATCGTTCTGTTCCCTTGCACATGAAAACATCCTTAATTTTTATTAAATCACTCTTGAATGAATGAGATGGTTGAATAACATATTTATGAAACTGTCATAATTGGCTATATTTATAGAAACGGAGCATGGAATGACTACAATGACCAGCTGTGTTGTTATTCAAAATGTCCTTCAGTCATTTGATGTCTCCCTTTGATTTTGGGTTGACCTAACCAGAAATGTTCTTGATGACAGTAAAAATATCCTATTTGTCTTGCAGGAAGATAATAAAATCATTGAGTTTGTTGTGAATGAGTTACCTAAGAACGATTGGAGGCCACTTGTGAGATGTCTCGGCCTATCTGATGTAGAAATTGAAGAAGTGGAGGAAAATACGCGAAGTGACTTACGAGAAACTAAACGCAATGCCTTAGTGAAATGGAGGAGAAAAGAAAATTTAGATAAATGTACTGGCACTAGAATAGTAATGGGTATGCGTGAATGCAAATTAAATCAGTTAGCAGACAAAGTTTGCATGGAGTTCAATATCTCAGGTAAAGACTGTATGCATTAACTTTATTCTCATTTCTTCAAAGCTTTCTAGTACCGGTATCCCACAGGTATTGATCCATGCTGTGTTTGCTATTGGTCCAATGCAAAGTGTACAACACATGTTTGAAATGTTATTTGTTTACACAAAATTTGAACACACACTGCTTGACAACTGTGATGATTTAATTATCTCGTTGCATATTGTCAGCAGTTGATATAGTCATTACCAGTGTCCGTACATATGTCTGTCTGTATGTTTGTACTAGTAGATTTAATCAACATATTTAATAAGCACAGGTCATGTGTCTTCATTAAAAAGGCATAACTATCATATCTAGAACACTATACAGATATTGATATTCAACCAGTGTTATAAAGTATAAAATCATATTTTTGATTTGTATACACACAGGATGCAGGACAAAATATAAATTATTAAATGTTGGTTTCATACATACATCCCTTTGAGGGCAAATAACCAAGGACTGTATTCAACATGTGAAAATCAGTGGGAACTCTTCTAATGATTGCATCTTTACATTTTCAGAAAAATCAACACTGAGTACTAACATGGCTGCTATTGGTGGTAGCGGAGACTTCTGTATACAAGGTACGTTTGTTGATTTTTAAAGTTTTCATTCTTTGTATTATATTGTTGACCTTTCAAACTTTCCTTATTAAAGATTTGAATAGAAAGGGTTCACAGTGTACACAAATTGAACATGATATCTGAAAACAGTATTTTGGGATTATGATATGATAGTATTTAGCCATGGAATTTTTTGAAATCTCACTCTAAACAGAGTCTGCCTTGGCCAATTTTATTCAAACTTGGTAGGTACAACCCATGTGATATTTTCTTTTGTGATTTGATTAAAAATGTTTCAAGCGAAGGGGCTGTCGCATGAGCACACACGAGAATTGAGTCCCAACAACCACACGCATTAACTAGTGGCCATGTTTTTTTTTCTTTTAATGTGTCCATTTTTTTTTGCGTTGTAAGCTTTTAATCAAAGTTGGGATAGGACATAATTGTGTGTCCTTAAATATTAATTCCCCCCCTATACATACTGGGACTGTGTCAGTGATAATGATTTGTTTAATGGAAGGAACATGTTATCAAACCCTAAAGTAATCCTACTAAAAAATGAAAAAAAAAATGATGTATACTAGTTTTGTCACATATTGTCACTTTGGTTTTAGTTGAAGAACCGGAATCTGAGCCTCTGCTATTTACTGACGAAATTTGTGATGACTTAGAGACCTTGGATAGGGAATATTTTAACAAAGAAGAAATGAGGAAAGTGCAGAAAAGGCTAAAATTGACTGTAAGTTGTTATATTGTAGTTTTGTTTAGTTTAGTTTAGTTTTTTTATACGAGTGTATCTTCTTTTTTTTATTCTGAATGTTTCTAACATGGAATGACAACCATGCTTTATTTGTGTTCTAATAGTGCTCAAATGAATTAGAACTTACGATGTACTTCCTAGGTGTTTTAATGTATAACAATCACTTTATTAAGATTCGCCTGTGCATACTAGTTAGCTATAATTTGCATGCATATTTTTAATTCTCTAATTTTAGTGAATATTTTTGTCATTTTTGGTAAAAAGTGATATTTTCAACTTCTTGTTAAAAATCGCAAGTCCAATTGCTTTGATATTACATTTATAGGTACTACATGTGGACCTCTTTCAGATTTGTTCATTTTGTAATGATATCTTTAATTCTCTAATTTTGGTGAATATTTTTTTTACATTTTTGGTAAAAAGTGATATTTTCAACTTCTTGTTAAAAACCGCAAGTCCAATTGCTTTGATATTACATATATAGGTACTACATGTGGACCTCTTTCAGATTTGTTCATTTTGTAATGATATTTGTAATTCTCTAATTTTGATGAATATTTTTGTCATTTTTGGTAAAAAGTAATATTTTTGACTTCTTGTTAAAAACCACAAATCCAATTGCTTTGATATTACATATGTAGGTACTACATGTGGACCTCTCTCAGATTTGTTCATTTCATGATGATATCTTCAATTCTCTAATTTTGATAAGTATTTTTGTCATTATTGGTGCATTGATACAATACATATTGTTCATTTTCTAATGATATCTTCTGTTCTTTAATTGAAATGTGCATTGCTAACAGCGAAGCTATCTCAGCCGACAGGTTGCTTGTTAAAACTTTTATGAGAATGATAATGTTACTTGCAAATAAAGACAAATATTACTTGTTTAGATCAGGGATAATCTTTGTATCAATCACAATTAATGATTCTGATCAAACTTTTGACACACTGCCTTGAAACCTTTACTTTTGCCAGTGACATTATAGTGCTTACATTCTAAACTAAATGACTTGTATATATGTCTTATGTAGCTTGATAGTGATGTACCAATATTTGAAGTGTGTACAGAATGGGAGAAGGTCTACAAACCGATGACAATGCCACTAATTGAGCGACGAAAAAAGACCAATTTTTTTGTTCGGGTTATGAGAGACCTTCCCAGAGAAGATATTGTTGATGTTTTGAAGAAATACTGGTCTGGTAATGGTCTCATAGGTATGCTTCACTGATATTACTGTTAATAATTATATTTTGAATAACATTGCTGTATGTTTGCACTTTTAATATTATGTATGTCATAACATTTTTTATTTCATAATTTATTTGATATGGTTTAAAACAATTCTTCTATTAAAATAATTGTACTTCCTGAAAACCTTGACTACGTCCTTAAGCCATTCATCTAGTTTGTATTCCAACCCCCCAGTCCCCTTATTGTTAATTTTTGATCATCAGCTTAACCCTCTCACCACCATTCCCTCTTTTCATCACAAATTCACAGAAAGTGCTGTTCATAGTCTGCACTTTCCTTCAGAAGATTGGCAATAGCCAATTTTTTTGAGTAAAAATTCTGTCTGTTGGCTCCGAATTTAAGGTTCATTTCCAGAAATACACAATGTATATTATAAGAATTATTAGACAAAATTGGGCGAGAAACTCTAGTGGTGAAAAGGTAAAAAAAAGATTTACACAGAACTTATATCCGCTGCTGTTGAATACATTCACAAGGATTGTAATTTGTGTCCACTGGAGGTTGTTGATGATTTATTACCCTGTACTACAGAATCTATAATCTTTTTATTTGTTCACAGGTCCTTCAATGTCAAACATGACATCATTCCAGAAAATCCCATTTTCAACGAGGAACAAATTAAATAATCAGCTATCAATCGAAAAGCCCAGTGAGTTGAAATCATCATTTCATTAATTTTCAAATATACTTAATAAAAATGAAGTATAGAGGTTAACACATCTGTTGTTGTGATCGTCGATTGTCGTTAACACTTTCTGGGTTTCCTATTTGCTGTAATTTAAACTAGCATGTATATTATTCAAGATGTACATGAAAATTTGTCTTAAAATAAAACATTTGTTAGACCTAAAAAATTACTAGTAAGTGTAGAAATAAAGACATTTACACTGTTTTACGACAAATATCACAATTAGTGAATGTAAAAACTACAGCAATCTATATCCAAGTTACCAATTTATTAAGAAGGGCTGACAAATTGACATTCATACAATCAGCGAATGTCAATGTAAAAATTATTATATTCACAGTTATGTCGATCATTTCCCAAAATACTATTACGACACTACTCATACATCCGCTTCAACATGCACACATTATCTGAATAATATCTAATTTGTGCACGTTTATAAAACATGCAAGTTCAACAACAAGATCTTTATCATATCAGCATTGGCCAGGCATTGATTTCCTTTGTATCAAGGAATAAAATAGAACTCACTGATTAAGTGGCACATTTGTTCTTGATAACTGACTTTTATCGTCGTTCATTGAATGTGACTGGAGTGATACTGTCAGTCTGGTGTCAGCCGCGTGGAAGGGTGGACACGATTTACAGTGGCAATACCCAATACAAACATAACACATCTATTATTATATTGAATATAAATAAGAACATGATTTGAGTAAAACTGGATGAGAAATGAAGAAATAACTGTATGTGGGTTTTTATATTTTGACACTGTCCCTTAACGCAATGGTACATGAATCCTCTGTGGTGTTGAGAGAACCTTTAAAGGCATTGTATTGATTCCCCCTCAATGACAATCACTTTCCACGTACAGGTTTCTTCTTTTGATAATTCAAAGATATGCCAGGTATATCTCGACCAATCCATGACTTATGTCGGCTTTTTCTGGAAAATAATACGTTTTGACGATAAGTAAACTCAGGTTTCCCCATTGGTATTCATTTGTGACCTTATTAGTCTGCATATTTGTACTTTTCAACATCCGTTGAGGTTTGGTAAAACTATAACATGCAAAACCACCAATGCAATGTTTTTCATATCCTGTCATTTTTGCTTCTTAAATCATAGTTTGCCTTCATACTTGAAATCAAACATCGTTTTACATAACATGTTTTTATCGAATGAAAACTTAGACAAGTTTGTACAAGCAAAGGCATCATTCAATCACAAAATGTGTATAGTTTAGTGCATCCTACTTTGTTGGTTGATGCTGCTGCAGAAACGGTTGTCTTGCGCCTATAGTACCTTTAACCACCCTTGACCACATGTAATTTGTCTCACAATGAACAAGTGTACTTCCCAAGATAGCGTAATAATAAATTCAAAAATAATAAATTCTAAAAAACTTTTCTAAGTCCTTTTATTAAATTGTCCTAAGTAATACAAATACATGTATATTATTTCAAATCATGTCATACACTGCTAGTCAAGTATTGTAAATTGACCTACAGTAAAATTGTTTGCGACCTGTTGTTTTCATTTTGATACCTAAAAAATCAAGGCTTCTGCAGTATTCTACTTCTGTATTATTGTGACCTTGTCTTCTAATTAATTATGTGGGCATGCTCAGTAGCGCCTAGCAACCAGGAGCAGTCATCAGTTGGTTAAATAAACAAACCAGTCCTTTCCCTCAGATAAACTGTCTCATAATTATTCTTTAAGAACATTAGGGCTTGAGCTTCATTGTTTGATCTGTTTGTTTTCAGATGGTTCTGACTGGCGCATCATTGCTGAAATAGCTAAATTTCCCGACTACCAGAATTTAATTCAACTCTGGCAACAGAAGGGTAATGGAGGAGAACAAGTTCTGCAGACATGGCAAGGCAGAACAGATGCTACTATTGGCAATCTGTATAAAATTTTTGTAGAAAATGATATGAATGACTGTGCCAAACTGTTAGAATAAAACCTATAGTTATTGACAGGTTATTTAGTTCATGTATACTTGAGATATTATTACATCTTATTGGTCCTTCAAAGCAGTTTGAACTTTTATTGTAATTTTTATAACAACATCTATAATATACTTTTGATAATGTCACAATGCTGTAATTTTTCTATAAAAGTCAAGGCTATAATTGAAATAAGATACTGTAAAATGACTCATTTTCACTGGGTTTAAATTTCGCTGATTTAGCATTTCATGGATATTCAATGGGTTTTAAATTCACGGTTTTATCATTTAGATAATGTGTTCTGTGCTCAATTTTACATATTCACTGGGTTTTAATAAATAGCATAATATTCCAGTCAGCCAAAAATTAAAACCCAGTGAACCCTTTTATAGTATATGATCTGTCCGGCAAAAAAAAGCAATTATTGGTTTGTGTATGCTTCTACTGAAGATACTCTTCTAAAAACTACAGTATTCTACTTTTAAAATCATTTGAAATTGTAGAAATTCAGAAATTTCTGGTATTTTTAGGAACCAACCAGTGTGTTTTCATTGAACATATTTTATAATTTACGTATGCGCAGATACATTACTCCCACATCTGTTTTTTTTTTTAAATTATTGTTTGATGTTTCTCTGAATGATGTCCTTAATCATTGATGATAAACTGTCAGTAAACTGTGTTCAAGAAATAATGATTTCATAAACAAGAAATTACAATTTAGAAAAGAGTGGTTGAAAGCTATGACATCATAACTTGGTATGAATCTAGCAATCTGATTGGCTTAAGGAAGGTCTTGTATCTGGCACTAGAAGACTTATTATGCATGTTGCGAGAAAACTCCCTGTGAGGAATGTGTGCGTTCATTACTGTGCAGCATTCAAGTGATACATGTGACATCAACATGTACATTGTTGCCACTCCCCAAGCCTGCCACCTGTTTCATAAAAATATCTGTTTTCAAAAAATATCAACTAAAAAAATCGTGTACTCTACGTGTATGTTCTACAGAATGCAAAATCTATAACGCGCATTACACAACAGGCAAATTATTACCCCTCAAAATGCCAGTTTACACAAATACCGGGTAACACCCCAAATCCAAATGGAAATTATATAACACAATATAGTGAAAATCAGGTGATTATGTTTTCAAAATTATCACACTATTAGGTGTTTTTAAAAAATCATGGCTCTTCATCACCCCCTTATGATAGTAGTATATTAGTAAAATTAATTTCTGAGTGTAAGTGAGGGTTTTTTTGGTAGTGAAGGTAAGACTTCTTCAGGTAAAATTGGCATATTTGGGGCGGATAAATAACCTCACATACATACCTGTCAAAACTACAATAATAACATACAATCCTGCCACAACATGAATGTCAATATGTAATATAAATTAACTACTAACAATTTATAACTTTTATAAAAATGCTTAATAGATGCAGGAAGTGTGTACCTAATTATTTTTTTAATCCTCTGTTTCATTTCTTGTATCACTTACTATATTCTGTTCATTTGAAAATGACTTGCATGTGTATCGTGGTTTGTTTATACTAATGGCTTGTGTGAGACAAAAAAAATCACCACCACGTTAGAAATTTCATTCTATGGCCTTTGATGTTTTATCTTACAAGAGAGTCACACAATGGTATTAAACACTGTATAACCACTGTATGGATGACTTAAACCATTTGATGGATGACGGTGTTTGTTTTAGGAGTAAGAGGGTTGAACGTGGGCAATTATTATTTGATCACAAGAAATAGTCCATATGAATAATTATGTAACTTAAATTGAAAATAATTTGTATTTATTCAATCAGCTTTTATAAACACTGGAGTATCATTCTTCTTTTCTAGTGCATGCAGATGCATTTGAACAGCTTATAATTTTGTCGATTTATGCTGCCCATCAAATTAAAAAAGGTTTTGCCATTTTTCACAAATTATTAGTTATACCATTGAAGTTTTGTTTAGATATTGCAGTTTGGATTTGGCATTAATGGTTACTGATATTTGAATATTCACCGGGCTTTAATTTCTTATTTTGCTATGTTGAGTAAATTTATTGGTTTTATATTCTTAGAAAAATGGAATAATGAATTTTGTTTTAATTTATGTGTTCATGGGAATGTGGTTTAGTGGTTTTTGAGAAAAATTAAATGATAAACCTCCAAAAGTTAGTCATTGCATCATATATTACCAAATCCATGATATACGTGGTCATATTCTGTTGCAATATGGAGTCAATGTGAAGCTACTTACAAGACTGTGTCTGATTGGCTAACCAACACTAAAACCTGACAGTCAGACCAATCAGAAAGCAGCTTGTTTGTTGACAGGTATTTTTAAGCATACTAAATTGTAGAGTATAATATAGTATATTTAATTTGATACTAAATAATATATTTTGTTACATTATCTGTGGTCAAAAGACATTAAATATAATAAAACACAATTACACACACGGGACAAAAGGAAATACAATCTAGACTGAAGTCTAAGTAAAATTACTTATAGTGAAATAATATGCTGTCAATAAATTTGCTAGCACTATTGGCAATGAACCCATCTCTCAAACTTAAAATTTCTGCAAACATTTGTTGTTTTGATAATTCAAGTATACTTTCATTATAAATATTAAATGCATTCATAAATTCAGTACGAGCATTTGTTATTCCAGTATGGTTGCAGTCTAAAAGTGCATGGATTTCATTGCCAATAGCCCCATTGTTACAAAGTTGGCACTATAGATATATATATATGGTTTGACTGTTAACCTTTGTAGATACAATAAATGTCAAAGGTCAGGAATTGTTATAGTGCTGTTGATGAATATATTAGATTATGATTTATCGTGAAATGAAACATTGTTCTTGTTGCACATAGTTAAGTATTCATTCCATGGAACAATGAAGGTCGCTAATATGTTTGTGTACTGAATGTTTTGGTACTACCAGTAACAATTATTGTACATGTGTACTAATGTTATTCATGTTATATTATAGTGTTTTGCAAGAGCAATGTTTTTAGTTTATGATATATAATAATCAACTTTGGTCCTCAACACTATTGAAAAATACTTGATACATCCATAATGCACCTTTATGATGAAATATGCAAATTGTTGTTCAATATTACATGATTGCCAAATTAGTTTATGATTTCCTGTAAACTAAAATTGATGTTCCGTACAAATGAAAAAAAATGATATACTATACCTTGTGTTCTGTTGGGGCTTTTATACATACTAAAAAAACTGGAACATATGCGTATAAGGGAAGTTTCATTAAAACAGTTTGTTTTTACTCATTATGTAAATTTTTTAATCCAATTTGATATTTATTTTTTCAAACTAGATGCTTCAAATCGAGGAAATTTTTTTTACATTATCTGTAATTTTCACAGAATTCAATCTCAGTTTTAGACAGGCAAAATGTGACATTCTGATAAAAAAAAAGTTAAAATTTTTCTGAATATTTTCTGTATAAAAAAGAGAAAATTCAAATGGAACTATTTTTTGAATGATGTCTGTAGTTGGCTTTGGTGCTCAAAGGATTAATTATTTAATTGTAATTTGAAATTTATTAATTTTATGGATTGTTTCATGAGTTCAAGAAATCGTAGTCTTTAATTAGTTCCTGTTCGTAACTGGTCTGAAAACAAGGACTTGTATTTTGACATCTGTACATGCATGCACCTCCACCTGTATCTCAGGCATACCTGTTCTGGTATATGCCTGTCCAATAATTTTATGATCTGATTCAAGATGGCCAAATGGCGTTTTTTTTTATGCTAAAATTTATCAAAGTCGAACATTTCTTGCTTCTGTAACCGTATCTTGGATGTGTATGTACAGATTTTGTTATGGGGGCTTTGATGCACATCATATTGTTTTAGAGATCCCATTCAAAATGACCAAATGCTTTTCATAATCTTTATCTCTAGTATTCCTTGACCGGTCATATTCAAACTTTATATGTACATCATGTTATACAATGCAATTTAATAATTGTTAGATAATCAGATTCAAGAAGACTGAATGGCAACCATTTTTAATGTTGAAAATTCATCAAAATAAAACATTTCTGTCACTTCACTACGTTCAGTTACCCACCATAGACTCCAGTCAAAATGACTAATTTTGAACTGCAGGTGATCTGCGATTCAGGCAATGAAGGAGAGAGAAATCTAGGTCAGGGGCAGCCCCATAACCTCATAGATTTTCTTCTACGTCACGCAAAACGTGACCAAGGTTAAGAGGACAGCGCCATCTCGCCCTATGATCACTCTCCTGTTTCTGCAAAACAGGGCGATTCAGTCTTTATTTTTTTTTGACTGAGTTTTCTGAGGTACTCCTGTGACCGTTGGTAACGGGGGGGGGGGGGGTGTATCTGATTCGGTTGGTACAACCTTTGGTGGCCCCGCAGAGTCTGTTCTTCGTAACGACTCTGTGAGCCACTGCATGGGGGTGATGCAGGGAATCATCGATCCTATTGACCCAATGTACATACCCCCACCCTCGCTCCTGAAGCAGTTGCTCTCTGTTGTGCTGTCGCTTCTGGGATCCAGACGAGGGTATCCAAAGCAACACCGACTGCGTGGCTCCCCTGGTCCGACCCAGTGCTGGACGTAGCAGAGAACACACAGACGGTGTTGATGGGCGGATGTTGGTCCCCTGCAAAATATAGACCTAAGTCCCTAGGGTGCGGCAATCTCGCGCTTAACCTGCTTAACCGCTGGATCAATCGCTACCTGATTGGTGTGGTGCAGTCTCGGTGCTTCGGGTTGCCACCGACCAGATGGAACAGATGGTACAGGTGAAATCCCCAAGTCAATTTGGCTGCTACCAAGGGCAAGCAGAAAGGAAAGGGGTGCGCCCCCAGGAAGAAGGGACCAGGTGGTGAATCCTCTTCCTCGGGTGGTTTCCCACCCAGGTTAAGGTTGAAGCTAGTTTGACACTTCCGTCTGCGACAAGGGGGTGAGCATACGTTCGACAAGGGGCCGACTATGAACTTTTCAACTCCTACAAACCTCGATGGGACTCACTTCATCATGGGATAGATCGCCCCAATGTAGAACCGCTGCTATCTCCACCCCCTGTCAACAGGGCGCCCCCCATCCCCCATTGGTGGCGCTGCCAGGGGATCCCCTTAAGCGGAAGCAATCCGACAGGAGGTAGACAATTTGCTTACGAAGGGG